GCGCTGCCATCGCATGCTGACTAGCCCTGACCAGCCAACACCAGCCGCACCAAACTACACTCCACCAACTTTTCCACTTACACCAAGCACTTTCCACACTCATCCACTACAGCCAATACATCGAACGTGCCGAGGCCCTCTTTGCTGTGGGCCTCATCCACCTCACACTTCTGTTTTGCTACCCTTCCTCCACCCAACGCTCCAAGCAATGGCGTCAGCGACTTCAGCATCTCCACATACAACCCCACACTTACCATTACCACAACTTTCTTTCTTCCAACGCAGTTTATGTCAAGCTCTACCTCAACCCCGCCACACCACACCGCTGCTACCACCAGCATGGCCATTTCTATATCGGTTCTACCGGCATTGGCATCCCACACAGGGAACACAACCGTCGGGCGAAACTCAAACAATTGCAAAACAACATTCCCATTTCAGCAGAACTATCTCTTCGGTACTGGCATTCTCACAACAACATCCACCACTTCACACCCATTCAACTTTCCTCTCACGATACCTACGACCAGGCTTGGATCCAAGAACACTGCCTCATTTCCAACTGGATGCCGCCACTAAATTGGCCCTTCATCTCCCACCACCTCAAGCTCAAAGCTCAAGGATGGCAGTTTACAAAACACCGCGCTCCTCCCGCCTGGCAACCCACAAACGACTTTTCCGCAAGCTCCGCAGACGGCAACATGCCATTCACGAACCACATCTCTTCACCTCCACTCGACTCCATTCCCTCACTCTCCTTCGCGATCTCACTAAACACACCTTGGCCTCTTTTGAAGCAGCCAAACAACTGCGCAGCGGCAAACATACCGACCTTGAGGTCTACGCCATCCGACGAATGGCCTCCAACCTGGAAGAGCCTGGTCGCAGCAGAGCACTCCACATTATCAACCAAGCCCTCCAGTACCGCAACCTCAGTCCACCCAAGCCCAACATCCCCCTCACCATACCTTTTCTGGCCCACGACCAGTCTCCCAAACACTGTGAACAGTGGCTCAAGACCACAATACAGCACCACAAACACCTGGCCATCCCGCTTCACTTACCTACTCATCGTCTGCGGGAAGCAGCCCACAAGACTCTCCGGGCCCATTTGCACAACCACCGCACCTGGGAGGGTACGCTACCCAACCCTCCGACCTCCAGTGACTTGCCATGTGCATGCGACCACCTCAAAACCATTCTACTTGATCCGACTACACCCCCAATCGACAGCCACTACATCCTCACCCTTGAACAACTCGCACTACCACCGCACCTCCGCGTTTTCCTGGCAGCCAATATGAACAGCACTTTTTACCCCAGCAAGGCCAGATACTTCCTTTCATTCCAGACTGCTTTCACCAAATGGCTGCGCATCCAAGGCCTTCCACCCTGACTCACACAGCACTTGGAACCCTTCCTCCAGCACCAATGGAGGCTCCATACTGACCATTTGAAACATCAACCCCGCTTCACGGCTCGTCTTCTTCGGCAGCTCCAGGAATTCCTAGGCGATCAAGTCGTCCTTCACCATGCTGACCACGAACTGCAACAGCTGCGCATTTTCTGCCCCCGCCAATACTTCGCCGGGGCGCTTGCCACCTGGCAGTCACCGGAACTCTTTGCACCCATGCCAACACTCCAACCGTCCAACATCCACGAATACCTGACACACACCATCCCCCCCAGCCTCCGCACACGCTACAAATGGGGCTTCAGGAAAGATTTTACGATACCATACGGCATCGTTCACCTCAAGGAGAAGAAACAGTGGAGAAAAGGCCGCACCATTATCTCGTACTTTCAGTCCCTGAGCGGCAATCTCCTCCGCATTACCAGCCGAGCCCTTGACATTATCCTGCAACACCTCCTCCCCCAGCATCCAGGTCAACTTTCAATTCCACAACTGTGGTCCCACTTTCACTGCTACCTCACCGACACCCCACCAGACATTCCCCTACACGCCACCAATGATGATCTTGTTGGCTTTTTCAACTCAGTTCCACAGCACCGCCTGATTGACGCCGTCCATTCCCTCATCCAGCAATGGCAACGCCAGAACCACACCCATACCCTCACAGTTGACACCAAAGCCACCGGCAATCCTTTCCATCACTCCCATATTGGCAGGCATCACCGATGCCACCCTACACAACGCAGTATTCATACTGCCGATATTACAACCATTGTGGCATACGCACTCGACACCTGTATTTTCCGGGCACGCAACAACACCTACAAGCAAATCCGGGGGGGCTGGGATTGGCTCCCAGCTCTCAACGATGCCATCACTCTCATCGAACACTCCTGGCACCAGCTCCACATCAATCTCCTTCAACACACTGCTCTCCATTTCACATACTACCGCTACGTGGACAACCGCTTCATTGTCCACAATGAACACTTCCTTTCACATCCCGCCATCCAGACTCTCATCCACAACAACTTTTTCGGCGATCCCGTCGAATTGGAGACGGTGGATGACTTCCACCTTCTGGGTTTCAACATTGACCTCCAGCAACGCACCATCACCTACATACAACCCACCCAACCCTGGAAAATCAGGGACCACGCCAGCGCCGGTAGCCAGCGCTTGGCTCTGTCCGGCTTAGCTTCCAGACTTCACTCCATCTATACATACACTTTTCCACCCCACAACGCCACCGCTGCGGCTGAAGCCCTGGTCCACCTGTACGCCCAAAAAGGGCACGACCTGCATGCGTGCAGGCGGTTTTTGAAAAAAAAGGTCCGTTTTCTTCACCGCTTGGACTGTGCGCCGATAACGGCGTGTTGTGTGTGTCACACCCTGGTTCTAAGGGTTTTCCACGTTCTCACCTTTCCACTGTAACAGAGGCAGGGGGGCGATGCACGACTGACAGACATTGCCCAACGAAGACGCTGTCAGCTCGTGGTGAAGCAATGCGGGACGCCGCATTGTGTACCTGCTCAATGAACTTTTGCACATGCTGTCCACTCTTTTGGTTTGATTCATGGTGTTTCATGTGATCCTTCCCCATAAACAGGTTTCCCACCGCACTGCAGCTGCTGAACTTTCACTTGAGCGCTTTCGGAAACATTGTTCAACAATACTGTTTGGCTGACCCATGCACCTTTCCGTTCCCTCACCTTCCTTCCCAACGTGGCAATTGAGTCTAACTGAAAACCAAGTTCGAAGTGTGGTCTCTGTGTGTGTGGTCTCTGTGTGTGTGATCTCTGCGTTGTCTCGGTGTGTGTTGTCTCTGTATGTATTGTCTCGGTGTGTGTGGTCTCTGTGTGTGTGTCTCTGTCTGTGTGATCTCTGTCTGTGTTGTCTCGGTGTCTGTTGCCTCGGTGTGTGTGGCGGAGGCGGAGGCGGGAAGCGGGCGGGAAGCGGGATGAGACATAGAAAAGAAGAACCCCACACTAAGATGTGGGGAAAAATAAGAAGACAAAAAGCAAAAAGAAGAAGAAGAAGAAAGAACCTTGGTTATCGCATGATCACTGCTTCTGTACCAGGCAAACTGAGGCTGACCGGATCCAATCGAACGACAAACCGCCTTCACCATCCGAACCCTCCACGTCGGGAGGCTCACACCCTCTCGCGTCAGCAGTCGTCGTATCTCTCCGGCACTGAGCGCTTCCAAGTCCTGGCGCCGCCCCTAGTAGCTTCCTTGCTCCTAGTAGCGATGCCAGGAGCCCTTGCTCCTAGTAGTACTGCCAGGAGCCCCTAGTAGCTTCTTGTTCCTAGTAAATCCCTTCAAATCCCCAAAAATCCTTGAACATGTCAACTTAAGCCCATCGCTTCTAGGTTGGAGGGCAGAGCGGCCTCAAGTTTGAAGATTGGAACATGTGGTTTGTTCTATGATTTGTTTAAATACATGATAAACTCGCTTAAGTCCCCAAAATCCGTTCAGATCCCCAACATCTGTTGGCCTCACATCCCAATTGTTTTGTCACTTGAAACGAGCCTCCCGTCTTGCCGTATGTGCTCTGAAAAATAACAAGTGCGCAACTCTGGAATTGCGTATCACAGAGAGATTAATGGTTCTAGTTCTCACTTGGTTTTGCGTACGGGAATCAATTGAGGTTTCAGGTATCCCAATTGCAGGATGTTGTCCATCAACAAATCTTCAACTGCTCTTCCTGTTACAGTAAACTACCTGTTGGCGTCCAAAAGAACAAACATTGTGTTCATTGCTGAGCAGCTTAGAAGCAGATGTTCATCAGTCTGCTTTTACTCCATTTTTTTGTGGACATCCCTGCATAGATTCCAGTAGACCCAGAGCAACAAATGCTCATCGGTTCAACAAATTCAGCAAGTCCATTCTGAGAAGCCAAAGCAAAGGCTGGAGGCCTTTGTATGACACTATGAGCTACAAAACAGTGAATTGCACTGCCAGCAGTGCTAGATGGTGCTAGTCATGCTCCTGCATGGACTGGGGTTGCGACATGGCAAGCTGCGCAGGCGTCTGCCCATCTACAGAATCTACTGTCTCTGAAATGTCTGAGGCCGTTGGCTGACGTTGGCCTTTGTGTTCGTCCTAGTCATCCTTCTAGCGTGGCTCGGTCGGGGGTCTGATGACGTCTGATGAAGTCTGATGAGAAGGATACTGCTGTAGGGCCTTTGTTGTTTTTGCTGCAGTAGATACTGCCGACGTTTCTCGAGGGTTTCAGGCAGAGTAGGAAAGGGGCATTATATAGTTTAGGAAGGAGTCAGGTGGTGTGCATTCCAGAATCTATATGCTGCTGCATGAACAGGGTTCAGGATGGTAGATCGACAAACCTTCAATTTTATGTTTCATGTTTTTCTAAAGCTTGAGCCGCTCATTCCACACCAGCTCACTCTTGTATGGAGCTCGATGCCAATGAAAGAAACAACCAAGCTTAAACTATCACAGCCTTGGTTTTGGGGGGTTCTAGATCCTTCCAAAGCTCGAAGCTCGCCGAATCTGAATCTGCAAGAGCGTTTGTGGCGAAGGAGAGGACCCAAGACAGCCTCCGGTGGCCCTGGGGCCGCCGACACACAGGCTGACGATGGCAATACGCAAGTCGGGCAGCCTGATGTCATCAGACTGTAGCTGACGCGTCAAGGCAAGGCGAGGCTCAAGCAGATAAGACAAATAGACTACAGGACTCTACGGACCCCACAGAATCTGCGGATCCAATCTGCTTGGCACCCATAGCCGCTAGCCAATGTTCCAGAGCTCCCCTTCATAAAAGACAAGAAGCAAAGTCCCGCCTCTTGAACATGCCTACAAAATCGGCTGGCAACACTAGGATTAGCTGTGAAGATTGGAAGAGGGCTGATTGGACATACTTACCCACCAATTGGAAGATTCACCCAATCAGCTGTGCCTAAAGTCGTGCGGGATGCTCTTGCCCGCGGCCGTCGGGGAATGACCTCGCCGCGAACGAAAAGGCGCTTCCATTGCGCGGTGGGAGGTGACCCAAGCAAGAAAGGTCTGACTGGGAAGTTCAGCCAGCTTGGTTTGGAAGGAGGTCACTCACTGTCAAAGCGAGATGCGCTTTTGTCCTGCAATCGAGTTCGTTCCCCCATCTGCCTATCTGCCCTGTCAGGAATTTGGATGAATCATGAATCATCATGAATCATCATGAATCCTGAATTCACATGTCACACGATCTGAAAGCAATCTCTCTTCCTTGTGAACCCTCCAAAACGACCTCCTCCCCGTCCACTCTCTGAGCCGAAGCTCCCATGGTTCCGGAGCTTTGGAGCGCTGCCACCACCGACCTCAGGAGACCACGGTCGGGTGGTTCGGGACCGAAAAAAACCTGCAAAACCTATTGGATGGTACCGCCAAATTGATTGGCGGTCTATTCTACCACCTGTTTTGAGATTCATCCAACAACAATGGTGTGACCGTCTGACCGACCTTTTTAGCAGAAAGGGGGTATCTTCCTGTCAGGTGATGATTCATGAATTGTCCTCTAGCTCACCTAGCCCAAAGCCTGCCTGGCTCCTTTTGTGAATCTCTTCAAGTGCGGTCAACAAATTGAATCAAATTGACTCTTTTTTGGCACAGCGCTTCCCCAGGAGCTGACGTGAGGTCGTTGTTGATCTCCTTCGATGCAGCGAAAGTCACACACACAAACAGAATCAAAATAAAAGGACCGGATAACCCCACATGCCAAGCTTGCAAGAACTATCAACGAGAAGTAGAGACTGATAAGAAAAGAGGACGGAAAGATACTGGACGATAGAAGTGAATGAGATGAGTGGCCCGTGATGAGCGGTGTGTGATGAGTGGTGTGTGATGAGTGGTGTGTGATGAGTGGTGTAAGATGAATGGTAGGTGATGAGTGGTGTGTCATGAGTGGTGTGTGCTGAGTGGTGTGTGATGAGTGGTGTGAGATGAGCGGTGTGTGATGAGTGGTGTGTGATGAGTGGTGTAAGATGAATGGTGTGTGATGAGTTGTGCGTGATGAGTGGTGTGAGATGGGTGGTGTGAGATGAGTGGTGTGTGAT